TACTAGGAGCAAGGACGCTAGTAGGGGCTCCTGGCCATACTACTAGGAGCAAGGACGCTACTAGGGGCGCCTGGCCTTACTACTAGGAGCAAGGACGCTACTAGGGGCTCCTGGCCTTACTACAAGGAGCAAGGATGCTATTAGGGGCTCCTGGCCTTGTTACTAGGAGCAAGGACGCTAATGGGGGCTCCTGGCCTTACTGCTAGGAGCAAGGACACTACTAGGGGCTCCTGGCCTTACTACTAGGAGCAAGGACGCTACTGGGGGCCCTAGGAGGGGCTCCTGCTGGCCTTACTAGTAGGAACAAGGACGCTACTAGGGGCTCTTGGCCTTAATAGAGGGAGCAAGGACACTACTAGGGGCTCCTGGCCTTACTACTAGGAGCAAGGACGCTACCCTTACTACTAGGAGCAAGGCCGCTACTAAGGGCTCCTGGCCTTACCAGTATGAACAAGGACGCTACTAGGGGCTCCTGGCCATACTACTAGGAGCAAGGACGCTAGTAGGGGCTCCTGGCCATACTACTAGGAGCAAGGACGCTACTAGGGGCGCCTGGCCTTACGGCTCCTGGCCTTACGGCTCCTGGCCTTACTACAGGGAGCAAGGACACTACTAGGGGCTAGGAGCAAGGACGCTACTAAGGGCTCCTGGCCGTACTACTAGGAGCAAGGACGCTACTAGGGGCTCCTGGCCTTACTACAAGGAGCAAGGACGCTACTAGGGGCTCCTGGCCATACTACTGGTAGGAAGCTAATAGGGGCTCCTGGCCTTACTACTAGGAGCAAGGACGCTACTAGGGGCTCCTGGCCATACACTAGGAGCAAGGACGCTACCGGGGGCTCCTGGCCACACTGCTAGTAACAAGAAGCTACTAGAGCCTCCTGGCCTTACTACTAGGAGCAAGGACGCCTGGCCTTACTACCAAGAGCAAGGACGCTACTAGGGGCTCCTGGCCTTACTACTAAGAGCAAGGACGCTACTAGGGGCTCCTGGCCTTACTACTAGGAGCAAGGACGCTACTAGGGGCTCCTGGCCATACTACTAGGAGCAAGGACGCTACTAAGGGCTCCTGGCCTTGCTACTAGGAGCAATGACGCTACTAGGGGCTCCTGGCCTTACTAGGAGCAAGGACGCTACTGGGGGCTCCTGGCCTTACTAGGAGCAAGGACGCTACTGGGGGCTCCTGGCCTTACTAGGAGCAAGGACGCTACTGGGGGCTCCTGGCCTTACTAGGAGCTAGGGGCTCCTGGCCTTACTAGGAGCAAGGACGCTACTAGGGGCTCCTGGGCTTATTACTAGGAGCAAGGACGCTACTGGGGGCTCCTGGCCTTACTACTAGGAGCAAGGACGCTACTAGGGGCTCCTGGGCTACTAGGGGCTCCTGGGCTAAGTTGGAGGCCACGGCCAGTAGGAAAGGAGCGGGCTTTTAGAAGACATGGTCTCCCCATCTCACCTTCCAAGGTCCATGGTAGCGTCCGGTGGCCCAGTCCGTCGCCCAAGGAACCCGGAGGAAGTCCGAAACTGAACTTTCTGCTCCCACCTGGCGAGGTCAGAAGAGGAGAGAGTGTTTTTATGTGTTTTTTCTTGGTGACACCTGTCCAGAAGTCCCAGAACACTTTGTCCAGCTGCCAAAAAACATGCAAAGTGAATAGGCGGCACATGTGTTTGAGAAAAAAGAGCAGTGACTGCGTTCTTTCTCGCTTCTTTTGGAGTGCTCACACGATATCTGAGGGTGCAACAGATTTAAAATACCTGACCAGCTACCTACCTACCTCCCTGCCTATCTACCTACCTACCTAGTTCCTGTACACGACTATTTGACCTATAGTATGCTTCGGAGTATGGCAGAATCAAGAACTAGAACATAAAGCAAACTTTTTTGACAGTGCTTCTCCATTCACGTTTCCGGTTGCCCGTTTAGAAGTTCTAATCTGATTGGAAGTCTAAGTATTTTAGAAAAGCATTGGTGGAGGCCATCGCTCTGAGGTTGGAGGCCATCGCTCTTAGGTTGGAGGCCAAGCTGCTAGTAGGTTCCGGCCTTCCTTCTTGGAGAATAGGCCTTCGCCCCATGACCCCAGTAGATCCACTGCTACCGAGAAAGCCAGTAGATCCATCTGTGCCGGAAAAGGAACCACCTCCGATCCGTTTTGGGTTGACACATGCTGACACCATTTTCTGAAACTCACTTTGCAGTCTCATCGGATCCTCACACATAAATGCAAAACTCGATCATTTGGTCAGTGTTTGGTCCTTCTGTACTTTTTGTGCTTTTGATGGTCCTTCTGTATTTTGATATCTTTAGATGGGCAGGACACATGACCTTTCCACCGAAACATGCGGCCTTAGCCTTCGCAAGACCTTTTTCATGGAAGTACGCATTCACAGGTCTTTGTTTGTTTTGTTTTTCCTTAAGCTACTAGTAGCAAGTGCATCGCTAGCTAGAAGCTACGTGTAGCGATGCACTTGCTATTTGTTTGCTTTCTTTTTCGGAACGGTCGCCACGGAAGCTGCTTCCCGGTCGAACACACGGAGCGCACATCGCCAGGCCCAGGCCGACGGAGACGAAGGAACAAAGCACCTCGACGCTAAGCTTGGCAGGTCGAAGGGTCGAAGGGTCGAAGGGGCGGCCTCGCGACTCGAGTCCGGAGCGTTCGGACGCGACTCGAGAACGGGGCTCCTGGCATCGCTACGAGTCCGGAGCGTTCGGACCCTATGAACGGGGGCTCCTGGTAGTCACAACATGTGTCACAACATTTAGCCTGTGCTTGAAATAGCGATGGCCTCCAACCTAGTAGCAAAGGACGCTTGGACGCTCGATGTTGCTTTTTTGCAAGTTGACCTGCCATGCCCTGCCTCCTTATACATTAATTAAGTAGGTGGTTACCTAAGTATGGGCAAGATAGCTTACTAAGTAACCACGCAGGATAGCTCATGCACTATTCATTTGGTTCCTAGATTCTTGGCAAATAACTTGGCTCCTTCTTTGAACTGCGAGGCTAAATGGATAACATTGGATAACTCAACCCTACTACTACTGTGGATTGATTAGTAGGTGATCGACAACCAATCACCGGATGTCTGACCTTGATGCTCATCGATGTTTCGTCTTCATTGTCTCAGAGGTCTTGAGGTCAAACATGTCACTCTTCACATCTGAAATGTCACTCTCCGCGGTCTGGGTGTTGAGAAACATCATGAAACATCCTACTGTTTACGAACGATTTCCTCCACCAGCTGGGATATGCAATCGTCTTTCTGGGCAATGCAGCAGTGCAGGTTTCTGCCCACCAAAGTGTGACTTGTATCATTCAAGTTCTGTTCACATCTGTTCACAAACATCTGATCACCTAGCTATCATCTGATCCCTGACTCCTCTTCTGCGACCCCTTATCTTTCGCCTTTCGCAAGCACCCATTTCAATTCGATGCATGGATGAACTTCCCTTCCAACCAAATCGACATCACGCCAGGACGTCCCGAGTGACGACAAGTGATGGCCGGCTGCGGTGAACCGTGGCTCTGTCCTCACTGGTTCCTTCGGACTCGGTGAACGATGATGCAACGCCCTTCCGAGGGCAATGGTGCCAAAGTCCGATGTGGACCCAATGGATCATTCTGGAAACTTAGGAAGGACTTCAATTCGAATAGAAGGTTCAATTGAAATGGGCGTGTCGACCGGTCTGTGCACCCCTGTTCGACTGCATGCAGCCAAGTCGGTTTTCGGATCACTTCAACTCACAGTCCCTCGGGGGTCCCTCAGTGGCCCCATATGTCAAGATACTCTGCGTGACAAACCAAACGCAGCTGAAGGCCTGCCACAAAGCTCAAGCGGCCTTCTTTGGCCAAGAGATTCCGTCCTCTCAAGCCCCGAACGTTCGTAAGCGTAAGCGCTTCATGTCATCATTTCCACCGTCTCTCTTCAATTGGTGCTTGGCACTCTCTTCAGAGCACTTCGCAGTTGTCCGTGTCAATGTCCTCGATCCACACGACCATCGCCAGTAGGGTTAGAGGCCATTCCTATTAGGTTGGAGGCCACCGGCGGCCACCACGGGATCTTTTCCTCATGAGAGTCACATGATCTGAAGAACAAGCTGCCAATGACGTGTACTCCCTCGACCCCCTTGGATCCCCCCGACACGACGGACAGGTCTCTCATTCGGTCCCTGCCAGGGTCTCCCTATTAGGACAAACCCCTGCGTGACAATCCTTTCTCGAAGAAGTCTTCGTAGACCCACAGGTGAGAAACATCTTCATCCGAAAGAAGTGCCTTTGATTTTGAGGTCTTGCTTCACCGAAAAACGTGGGAAACTCAACCAATCCCCTGATGTTTGGATTTCGTGTGGATTCCAATGAACCAAGCGGAACATCCTCGGTCCCCAGGCTGGGGCCGAAATCGGACTCGGTGAAACGATGAGTCCTTGATCCGAGTCGGCCTCTTTCCGATTGGACGAGATCCACGACTTTTCGCTGTCCCATTTGAGTCTCCAGGCAGAGATTCTCAGAAGGCTTGCTGCATGTTCCAGTTCAATGCCTGCACGTGAAGCACGCAAACTGGAAAATGTGTCTACTCTCTTTGGTATCATTGGGCGCGCGCGTGCCTTGCATGGGATAGCTTGAGGGCAATCCCAAACAGTACTCTCCCGCTCACTCAGATAGGAGCAAGGACGCAACTAGGGGCTCCTAACGCGCGCAAAAGGGTCTTCCCACGGCCTCAGGGTGTAGCCAACAGTGGCTGACAGATGAGGGGTCCAGCTTGTGGCTTCTCTTTCCAGTCAAACACCAAAAAGAACACTGCGGGACTTAAATCAACAAACACCCAGACAACAGGGCGTTGGAAAGAAGGCTTTCATTGTTAGGGTCGCTTGTTGGGTTATTGAGTGCATTCTTTTGTTGGCGAAGCATTCCGTGGCCTCTTCCAACCTAATAGCAATAACCTAAGAGCGATGAATGCCTCTGTTCTTCTCAGTTAGCTTCAAATTGGGACTCCTTCCACTTTGGAAAGTTGACCACTGTTTTCACTGTGTGGGTGGTGGTTGATCCCGTCCATGGACTTGTGAACCAGGGTATACCATCCAATGTTCATGGACATGAATGGAAGTTCAGAACATCAAAGAACATGCACAATTTTTGGAGTTCCTTTCTGGAAGAACATCATAAATACTTCGTAATCACCCCCAGACATCCTTCATCTAGACCTGGACCCAAACTCAACGCCTTCACCAAGTAAGGGCGGGGCAACGGCGGGGCGCAACCGAACCCGACACCGGTGACACGACGCCGGACCAAGCGCCACCTCCGGGGATCGCCCAGATCACCAGGGCATAGAGCTGCACCAAGGAGTTGGGCGCCGACTCCAGGATCGCCTTGGACAGTCGACGGAGCGGCGGAACGGCAGAAAGACACAGAACCGAGACCCCAGAACCAAGATCGCGGCGTGTCTTCTTCTTTTTGGGCTTCGAGATCCAAGATCCGTGGTGCTTTTTGGGCGTCACGGAGGGGGCCGGGAGCCCATCTCCGGAATTGAGTTGAGGAATGCACAGGGTGCGAACAAAGCCAGTTTGGTGTTGGTGGGTGGGGTGGATTTGATTGGTGAGATGGGGTGCTTGAGGAATTCTAGATGGCAATAGCTGAGTCGATGACTGTTCATCTGGAGGCTCACACCACACAGAATCTGTTGAATCAACGAAGCAACCACTCTTTTACAGCACATGTCGTCATGTCGCATATCACCAAATGTTCCAGTCTTGACCGTGTCAGACCGATGTGGAACATCACTTGAGGCACCCCTTTGGCATCGCATCAGCAACCGCCGAACATCGCAGAAAACCACCGTGTGCCAGTTCTTGTCGCGTCCAGTGTCACCTGAAATGGTAAGACCTCGACGCTTGGAACAAACTTATTTATAATGTTTCTAATAGCTTCTTGTTATTACTAGTAAGGCACTTGTTTCTAATAGCTTCTTGTTACTACTAGCAAGGCACTTGTTACTAGTAGCGATGCACTTGTTACTAGTAGCGAACGGGTCGGTGGATGGCCCCTCGCACGTCAAAGGCATTTAGACATTTACCAATCTGATGTGGGAGGCCTTCGCTACTAGAGTGGAGGCCATCTCTAGATACAAAGAAAAAGAACCGGAAAAAAGGTGTAATATAATTCAGTACTAGGTTGGAGTCCACCGGAAGCATGTCGAGTCATCAGTCCTCCCAATCTCTGACATACTCGGCTTCGCCTGGTTTCGCCAAATGCTCTTCAAATTCCAGAAATGTCACACATTTCCCCATGAAACGTGAATTAGCAGTAGGAACAAGTGCATCGCTACTAGGAGCAAGGGCCTTACTAGTAGTAACAAGGACGCTTCTAGGAACAAGTGCTCATCACTTCCGGAATCGCTTCCAAAACGGCGCCGCTCGCTCGCTCCCGCCTCCATGAGCCTCAGGGTGTGGAAGTAGTCAGTGTCACCGCTGTAGAAGATACACCGGTAGGCCTGACAGGCGCTACTAGGAGCAAGGACGCTACTAGGGGCTCCTGGCCTTACTACCAAGAGCAAGGACGCTACTAGGGGCTCCTGGCCTTACTACTAGGAGCAAGGACGCTAATAGGGGCTCCTGGCCTTACTACTAGGAGCAAGGAAGCTACTAGGGGCTCCTGGCCTTACTACTAGGAGCAAGGACGCTACTA